TAATTATAAAAAGGTTATAGGAATTCTTTATAAAAAGATTGATAAAACAAATATGGTTTTTAATACAGGAACTTTTTCATACTTAAATAATAGTTGTTTTCATAAATTCATTTCTGTGAAGATGGCAATCAGAAATTTATGCATAAAAAATTGATCTGTTGATACATATGTAAAATGTTTCTCGATTAAAAATAACACTTTTTTAGAAATTTTTTTCTCTGCACAATAATTTTTATTATGTTACAAACAAAGAAGATTCTTCATTGCTTGGTGTTAGTTAAAATTCTTTACTTCGAAAAAAAATCATAAAATTGATGAATTAGAATTAAAAAAGTGTATAAATCTTATATTGTATGTATTATATGACATTATCGAAATTTATCCTTTTTAAGCTATGAGTTTGGTTTGGTTTGTTTGTCGCTCTACGGTCATCTTATGCACACTTTAGGCTAAACAGACCAGGACCTACAGTTTAAAGTGGATTCCGAACCACTACAAACACCCATGGCACCGCCGGGACTCGAACCCGAAACCTGTGGTACCGAGCACCAGAGCGCTAGCGACTCGGCCATTCAGGCCCTTTTAAGCTATAAGAGCAATCTTATTTGCAAGATATTCATTGTCATTTGGATGTATAATTTCATCATGCAAAAACAATTAAAATAATAAAATATAAAAAATAATCAATAGATAATTAGCTATCAAGAAATAAAAAGTTCCTTAAGAATATATACTATTTAATAACTTTAAACATACGTGAAGTTAAAAAATAGCGCAGAAATGTGGGTGAGATGAATTTAACTGAAGTTAAATTTAATACAAATTTGGGTGATACGCTAAATAACTTTTTCCTGTCATTCAATGTAAATAGTCACAATATAATAGTCAAATACACTGAAGTGACAAAAGTCTTGGGATACCTCTTAATATCGTGTCGGCCCTCCTTTCGCCCGGCGAAGTGCAGCAACTCGACGTGGCATGGACTCAACAAGTCGTTGGAAGTCTTCTGCAGGAATATTGAGCCATGCTGTTTCGATAGACGTCCATAATTGTGAAGCGTTGATGGTGCAGGATTTTGGGCACGAACAGACCTCTCGATGATGTTCCATAAATGCTCGATGGGATTCATTTCGGGCGATCTAGGTGGGCAGATCATTCGTTGGAATTGTCCAGAATGTTCTTCAAACCAATCGCGAACAGTTGTGGCCCGGTGACATGGCGCATTGTCATCCATAAAAATCCCATCGTTGTTTGGGTACATGAAGTCCATGAATGGCTGCAAGTGATCTCCAAGTAGCTGAACATAAGCATTTCCAGTCAATGTTCGGTCCAGTCGCACCAGAGGACCAAGTCCATGCCATGAAAAAACAGCCCACACCATTACGGAGCCACCACCAGCTTGAACAGTGCCTTGCTGACAGTTTGGGTCCATGGCTTCGTGGGGTCTGCGCCACACTCGAACGCTACCATCAGCTCTTACCAACTGAAATCGTGATTCATCGGACCAGGCCACGGTTTTCCATTCATCTAGGGACCAACCGATATGCTCACGTGCCCACGAGAGTCGCTGCAAGCGATGTCGTTCTGTCAGTAAAGGCACTCGAGTCGGTCTTCTGCTGGAATAGCCCAAGAAAGCCAAATAAAACAGTTCTAACAGACAAGTCCCTTGTACGTCCCACATTGATTTCTGCGGTTATTTGACGCAGTGTTGCTTGTCTGTTAGAATTTACGACTCTTTGCAGACGTCGCCGGTCTCGGTCGTTAAGTGCAGGCGGTCGACCACTGGTGGGATGTTATGCCTGAAATTTCATACTCTCGGTACACTCTTGACACAGTGTATCTGGGAATGTTGAATTCCCTAACGATTTCCGAAATGGCATGACCCATGCGTCTAGCTCCAACTAACATTCCGCGTTAAGTCTGTTAATTCCCGTCGTGCGGTCATCATCACGTCAAAACCTCTTCACATGAATAACTTGAACAGAAATGAAAGCTCTGCTAAAGCACTGCGCATTTATACTTGTTCTACGCGATGCTACTGCCATCTGAAAATTTGCATATTGCTATCCCATGACTTTTGTCACTTCAGTGTATAATAGTCACGAAACATATAACAATCTTAAACAAAAAAAGAAAGCAAAAGTATCATAAATCATATTCAGACAACAAATTATGTTCATTAGTTATCAGTTAAAAACAGAAAAAAATTAATTAATAATAATAAATTGAGATTAAATAAAAAAAAACCATACAATTCCAACCGATTTTATAAAAAAAAGGAATTTTATTTTACTTTTTGTGAAAGAAATCTAAATAAACCAATAGAATTCCTCGTGAAATAAATTTTTAAAAAATTATAAGAAACCAATAAGAAACGTTGAAAGTGGTCAAGGAAAGGAAAAACTGATCAAGGACACGAAGAAAGTGATCAAGATAACGAAAAACCCCGTTTCTCAAAACGATACTCATAATTTTATGAGTTAAAAAAGATCCATCAAACAAATATATGATGACTATTATTAAAATTGGGCACCATTTGAACTATTAACCTATTTTGAAGTGGTATTCAGTATTCATATCAAAATGCCTTCACAGACCTTTTATAGGAACAACTTCTGGAAGTTGTAAAGTCAATGTAAGAACGAAGCATATAACAATCTTAAACAAACAAAGAAAGCAAAAGTATCAATAAATCATATTCAAGACAAAAAATTATGTTTATAGAAAAAATTATTTCATATTTGTTATGTTTTATTTATGTTACTATAGTTATCTTTAAAAACTAAAAAAAGAAAAGTGATTAAAGAAAAAGAATCAACACCCATACAATTACAACCGATTTTATGAAAAAAAGAGGAATTTTAATTTATTTTTTGTGAAAGAAATTTAAATAAACCAATAGAATTGCTCATTGAAGAAATTAAAATAATAATAATAAATCAATAAAAAACGTTGAAAGTGATCAAGGAAACAAAAAACTAATCAAGGACACGAAGAAAGTGACCAAGGAAACAAAAACCATTTCCTCCAAAACAATATCCATAATTGGATCGGTTAAAAAAAGACCCATCAAATAAATATGTGATGACTTTTATTAAAGCTGGGAAACATATGAACTATTAACATATTTTGAAGTATTAGCCTAGAACTATTAACCTACTTTGAAGTAGTATTCAATATTGATATCAAAATACCTTCACAGCTCTTTTAAGAGAATAACCCTTAAAATAAAAAAATAAAAATTCGCAAAGTACATTTGAATGCACTCTCTCCGATTTCAAAACGGTAGTCACAATTTGAAATTTTATTACGAAGACTTTTGTGCTTCGATATACTTTCCTTAGGGGGAAATATATTTCTTTTTGGTATGATATTACACGGACCAAAGCGCAAGAACTTCCTAACAGAGATCGATCTTTCCTCCAAGAAATCAATCTATAGAGCCCGATGGCTTCCGAAATGACGGCATGACAGACTTCCTGCCCTGAACTACTGTTGAGAGATTTCTGAAAATCTTACTTGGCATTCGATAAACTATGTTTTTTTTTCTACCTAGTTTGGTTAAAAAAAAAAAAAAAAAAAAAGATACTACTTTGAAAGGAGTGGAAAGGGCAACATGTATAGAGATTCAGTGTCAGTAAATTATTATTTTACCATCTGGTTTTCTGTGAATCTATAATATATGTCTTACGTATGAAAAAATACATAAAAGAAGTAAAAAACTGATCACCCATATATTTAAAAGTTTCATTTTATACAGCAGCATTTGATATTTCAAATTCAATTATCATAATAGACAAAGGAAAGACTACCAAAAAATTTAATTTTTTTAATAGGTGTTAAAATCAACTGCTAATACAAAACCTTTCTATTCGAAACAATCTGTATTAAAATTCGTGCTACTTCTATTTCCGCATAGCGCCGAGGCTGTGAAGCACTTAAGAAACAACAACCAAACTTTCCAATCCGAAGCCTTAAATCAATGGCTACTCCTAACGTCATCTGGTTTCGAGGTTGAGTACCACTGCTAAAAGTAACCGTTAAATATTCATTTAGTCATCTCGAATTGACAGACAATTCTTGTCAACTTGGTTATACTTACGCTACTTTGGAAAGTGTGCAAAGGACAACATGTATAGAGATTCGGTGTTAGTAAGTTATTATTTTGAAATCTGGCTTCTGGTTTTCTCTGAATCTATAATATATGTCTTATATATGAAATACATAAAAGAAGTAAAAAACTGAACACTCAGATTTTTAATAGTATCATTTTAAACAACAGTATCTGATATTTCAAAATCAATTGTCATAGTAGGTAAAGGTTGTTCTAATGCAGCTGGCAATACAGAGACGGTTAATCTTTGTCATAAGCAAGGGCTGCACTGCTGTTAATCATTTAGCACTACCCAGGGGGCACGTGTAGCGTGAAGATATGCTACGGACGCGAGTAACACTACCCTCCAACGCTCTGCTATCATATTATACTGGGACCTGTGGTACCGAGTGCCAGAGCGCTAGCCACTCCGCCATCATGCCCATATAGTAGGTATAGGAAAGACTATCAAATTTACAGATTCTTCGCCAAATTCAAATTCACGTTCAGGTTTTCTGCTAGTAAAAAAACTAGTTCTCTTGGAAATTAAAAGCAAAGTTATGTTTGAAATATGATGGGATTAAATGCTTTTAGGTTTTACAGAGAACTATGAAGTTCAATATCCTATTTGGTATGAATGAGCCACTTAAAAATATTATTTATTTATTAATATTGAAATAGTTACTGTATGAGGATTATGGATCAGTAATCATGAGTTCTGAAAGGATTTGAAAATGTGATAATCTTTCCTTTACCTGCTATGATATTGGTTTTGAAATATCAGATGCTGTTGTTTAAAATGGAACTGGGATATGGAATGTTTCTGGATGTTCAATTTCCTTTTTATTTCTTTTCTGCATTTCATACTCAAGACATTGCATATTATAGATTCACAGAAAAACGTACGTACGGCCGTACCATGCTGAATATACCGGTTCTCGTTAGATCACCGAAGTCAAGCAGTACTTGGGTGGGTGACCACCTGGGAACACCGCGTGCCGTTGGCAAATTTGGGACCTGAATGGCCGAGTGTCTAGCGCTCTGGCGCTCGGTGCCACAGGTTTCGGGTTCGAATCCCGGCGGAGCCATGGATGTTTGTAGTGGTTCGGAATCCACTTTAAACCGTAGGTCCCGGTCTCCTAGGACTGTAAGAGCGTCACGGAGCAAAAGTCAGGCTTCTACCTACGGGTGCTCCATCACAACAGAAGCTGCTTCCTTCCCCTTCAATCATGAGTACGTATGGGCTCGTGGGCTTGGCCAGCCAAGTGGGATAAGAAACAACAACAACAACAACAGAAAAACTGTTCTTAATAAAAAAATAATTAAAATTAACAATGCATAATAAAAATATATTATGAATTTTTATTTTTATTAAAGATTTATTATATTTTAAAAATTAACAATTTTTCTGAAATTGTTTCATATGTTTTCTTATAAAATCTATTTTTGATACTTATGCACCATTGTCATATGCTTTGCAGTGATATTTGAATTTTGAACCCAACGCAAGAGTAATATTTAAAACAAAATAAATAAATAAATTATTTGATATTTGCGAAATATACTGAATACCCACATTATAATGTCATTCTTTACTTGCATAGGCCGGCTATATGCTGTAGAATTTTTTCCTATCGGAAGAGTTGTAGCATTTCGTTCCCAGGAAGAGGAATGTATATTCTTTAAAAGTACATAATAAGAGATATGAACTATGTCATGGTTGCTCCATAGTGATTGGGGATAAACCATGGAGTGCCCACTCAACTGAGAAGTGAGGGAAGCTGAACATCTCTTTTCACGGAATTTCTTAAAGGGAGGTTTTTGGAGATGGATGAAGCGTGTGGCGAGTCGACAAGAAGTGTTGTTTTTCTGTAAAGTGACTGAACAGGCCAAAGATTCCGCCTGTTTCCAAAGTGGTTTCGTGTATCATGCCATGTGATAATTAAGGTCTTCTTCTAACCAGGTGCATTAGATTCGTCGTAGACTCAAGAACTGAAAATCTCCATCCTTAGAGTGAACTGCACTTGTGAATCAAATTATATCTTTAATTTTCATTTCTTTGTAAAAATATAATTTGCAATAACCCAGAGCTCCGCATGTATGTATATATATAATGCTTGTAAAAAAATTAAATGTAATAATGAAAGTTCCTCTTCTTAACATGATGCACTGTAATTCAACATTGAGAGACACTGTAATCCTACAATCTGACTTTCAAGGAGTATGTAAAACACTAGATAAACGATAAAAAATACTTTCTATAATGTAACAAAAAATTAATTTATGTGAGTTTATACTTTTCAACATATAATATTTGTAAATTTATGCTTGTTATCATTTTCGGTTCAGTTTTCTGTCTATTTTTCACAAAAGATGGGAATCCTATTCAGATGTTACTTTCACACTGCGAGATCTATGAATTCAAATAAAAGTACATTTACAATTCTCAGAGAAATACGAGTCCATTTAAATTCCTATGAGAAATAAGAGTAGATTTATCATCTTAAAAGAACCGATATTCCTTCAAAAAAGAATAAGACCAAAATCATCCAGTACGTACATTTGTACATACACTATCATTTCAAAACACCATTCGAAATTTCTGTAATGACTTTTGATATGCACTTCTCTTTGGTTTGACATAACAAGAAATAAAGAATTAAAATTTCCCGCAGAAACAAATCTTTACTTCAAGAAACAAATCTCTTAAGCCAAATGGCTTTCGAAATTTTATCGTGGGAGATTCCTTGAATTATTAAGAATTGTCGAGGCTTTTCTACAAATCCTATTTGGCGTTTTGTAGACTATCTTTTCTGCCAGCGGGGATGCTTTAATACACTCTTCGAATAACATGTACCAAAGTCCAGGCTGAGTAAGTTATTATACTTCTACCTGATTTATATCTCTGCAAGTTAGAAATGCTAGATGTTCTTTCGCACCCAAAGAGAAGAGTAAATTTATATATGGATCTAGAAAGAATGTAAGACTTTCAGATTTCACAGTGAACTGTGCATTTCAATATAGTATTTCGTAAAAGTATGCTGCTTAGAAATATTACTTATTCATAGACTTATCAGTAATTTTTGTAAGAGGATTGTATATAAGACTTTAGATTAATATTCACGAACATTTTGGTCAGGATTTCAAAATGTGGAATAATACACAATGCTTTTTTTTTAACTTCTTTTAATGCATATTTTCAAATTTTAATTCTAATGAAAGTCTAGATATACGAGAAAAAACTCAAAGGGTTGAATTAAAAAAATATTGTAGAGAAGAATTCATTAAATGATAAAAAAAAAACAACTACTCGCATATTAACTTATTAAATGTTAAAGGACAAAACAAATACGTTAAGAAATGTTACATTTCAGATAAAATACAAATAAAAATATTCAAGCACTCTTTTAGAAAATGGAATTAAGCGAAATACAAAAAAAAAAAAATATCAGGCGTAATAATAACGATTCTTCATCTTTTTGATATGATAAAATTCGTAGTACGATTAAATAATGCATTTTACATAGTTCATAGTAAGATTGAAAAAGTATTGTTGAGAAGAATTCATTAACAGATAAAAACACACAACTACTCACATATTAAGTTATTAGATAACCAGCACGATTAGTTATTAGACCACACCACCAAACAACGAAATACAAAATACCAGGCGTAATAATTAATTCTTCATCTTTGTTACGTCGAAACCCAGCTTTTCCCGCCTGGGGGAGGTCAACGCCCTATGCCCGGAAAACATCCTGTTTGTGGGGGTGTCTGGCAGGGGGTGAGGGCCAGGGAGAGAAAGAAGGAATGTAAGTAAAACGAGTTGAAACTTAGCGACCGAAGGAAAAGGTTGGTGTTAGCGGTCTATCCATGAGTAGCGATGGCTGTATAATTCATTGAGTTCAACCCCAGCGACCATCAAGAAAGGTTGCTTGTGGCAGTCCATCCATGAGCGCGATGACTGCATAAATAATTGAGTGTAACCCTCAAGTGAAAGGTTATGTGGGCAGTTCCATCTACGAGTTTGATGACTGCCAAAAATAAAGGAGTTTTATTTACATACAGTCCACTGAGTCGAGTATTATTTCCATTAACTGAGTATGTGTCATTTTTGGAATTTGTATCTTGAGTCTGAGCTATCGAACATTTGGTCCAGTCTCGCGGAGAAGGATTAGTTCGAACAATCTTTTTGGTATGATAAAATTTGTAGTAGAAGATGGTACAACGCAGAAATTTTTAAATGCTATAAAGACTCAGGTATTATAAAATTTATTAAGATCAATAGATTAAACTGGGCTGCTTGTGTACTTTAGAATCAATGATTGAAACCCTATAAAAAGCCACAGGGACAAAGAGGAAGAGGATGACGCAAGTTGAGATGGACAGAAGCAGTTGATAAAGATTTCGCTAGGTTAAGAATTGGAGAACCAATGTCAATCAGAGAAAACCTCCCACTCCCTGTTCTGTCTTGCTATTGATGATGATGAAGATTAGTAGTGTGATTAAATAATGTATTTTACATAGTGAGATCGTGGGCCTGAATGGCTAGCGCTATGACGCTCGGTACCACAGGTTTCGGGTTCGAATCCCGGCGGTGCCATGGTTGTTTGTAGTGGTTCGGAATCCACTTTAAAAAGTAGGTCCCGGTCCTAATAGAATCGTAGAGCGTCGCGGGGGCCATTGTTACTCCGCGTCCGTGGCTTATCTTCAAGTGACACACGCCCCCTGGGTAATGCAAAGTGAGTACGTCTCTGCAGCACTTGCCTTAAGGCATCCAAAGACCAAGCTGTCTGTGTTTGCCAGCTGCATTAGAAAGAAACATAGTGAGATTGTTATTTTCATAAACTTTGTAATTCAATTAATTATGATGTGAAAAAGTAATATTACAGAAAATTGCAGTAGATAATTTAATAATTATTATTAAGTCACAAAGTGATTTAATTTCTTTCAAAATATTTATACATTTCACCGAATATCGATCTATATTCAAAAAGTCTTTCAGCCCAGCATTTTTCCTGTCTCATTTTTAAAATGAAAACCATTTTAGAAGACATTTCCACATCATGACATTTCAGTATCCATATCAATACGCATTCACCTCTATGCGAGCTGAACTTCCTACAAAGAAGAAAACGAATGAATCTCCAAGTGGGTTTGAATGTACACTCTACCATCCCAAAGCGACAGACGGAATTTGAAATTCTTGTAATGAATCCTCTTGTGCTGCGATATATCGCAATCCCTTCACCCCTTCTGTATCGAGAAACTCAGTTCTTTTTTGGCTTGACATAACAGGGATCTAAATGCGAAAATATTTTACAGAAACGATCTTTGCACCAAAAAATCAATCTCGTAAGTTCGACGACTTCAGAAATGTTTGTTGTAGATTTGTTGCTCTATATTATAACGAATTGCAGAGAGGTTTCTTGCAAATCCTACTTGGCGTTTGGTAAACTATATTTTTATTTTTACTATCTAATACTTTATGAATATTCGGTATGATATGACCTTTAAAGAGTATATATAAGGTAACTCGTATTCATATTCAGTCATAGTATAATAAAAGTATTTCTCTTTTTGACTAAAAGCAAAGTTATATTTTGAAATATCGCGATTCTCAGGATTTTAGAAATTACAGAAAAAGAAGCATTTCAATATAGTATCTCGTATGAATAGGTTGCATATATATGTATATTAGGTAAATAGGAATATACTTATATATGCATAGGTATATTATTTATTTATATAATATTATGCTATATTAGGCTATTATTATTATATATAATATAATGCATAATAATAATATATATATATATATATATATATATATATATAACTTATGCCTACTAAAAGCAAAGTTGTATTTTGAAATATCACGAATTCAGGATTTTAGAAATTACAAAAAACGGGGCATTTCAATATCGCATCTCGTATGAATAGGTTGCATATAGATATCATTTATTTGTAGGCATAAAAGTAGTTTCTGTGAGAGAATATCTA